ACCAGTCGAGCTCTGGGAGTGGACCAGTCGAGCTCTGGGAGTGGACCAGTCGAGCTCTGGGAGTGGACCAGTCGAGCTCTGGGAGTGGACCAGTCGAGCTCTGGGAGTGGAACGTAGGAGCAGATTTAAGGATCTGAGATTGCAAGAGGGGATGTAGGGGGAAGAAGCTCAGATGGATACGATGGTGCAAGACTGTTCACGGATTTAAAAACAAACAAGAACATGTTAAACTCACTTCTAAAAATAAACCGTGCATAGCATCTAAAAATCTAATTTCACTTTAACTGATTTGAGAAAAAAATAATTTGACTCTCTGCCAAGTGGTTCCAAAGATGGGGGTCTACAAGAACCCATCTAAATGCTAATAATATATTTAGTATTACTTTTACAGATAAAAGCACCAATCAGAAACAGCTAAAGATGTCAAGGCTAACGAGGAAGCTGTTAGAAGTCGTAGTGTGTTGCACGGTGGTGCAGCTGGTAGAGCTGCCACCTCTCAGCGAGCAGTTCAAACCCCGGTCCAGGGGCCTTTCTGGGTGGAGTTTGCATGTTCTCTCCGTGCTGCGTGGGTTTTCTCCGGGTACTCCGGTTTCCTCCCACAGACCAAAAACATGCATGTTAAGACTGATTGTTGTCTCCAGGTGAGACCCGCTCTCTTCTTCTCGTCCATTTTCACGTTTACTCGAGTTTCTGTTAAGGTTAAATAAAACATTGTTTCATCCGTCTTAACTGTTAGGACTGTGAGCAAGATTTTGAAATCCTAATTGTGCAAAAACCATGAAGTTTGGTTCAAAACGCAGAATAAATTTTAGAACTTGAGAAAATTTACTTTTTGTGCAGCAGCTGTGAAAATGATTGTCATGTTAATGTTACAATGTAAATTAAACACCAAATTAGATGTCAGTTCATATTTCCAGTGTTTATTTGTTGAATGACAGGCTGTAAACTAAGTAAAAACGGTTTTAAAAAATATACCAACAAAGTGGTTCATGTTCACATTTAACTAAAGATGATTTTCACGATGTGGCGCTGCGTCCATCCCTCCACCTACTGAGGAGACGCCACGTAGAGGAGTCAGAACAAGTCAGGTACACATCACAGACATTCTGCATGCATGGGTGCTCGTTTGCTGCACTGTGACTGCACCACCGTTTGTGTTTGACATGCAGCATGATGACTCAACTCTCATTAAACAGCAAACTCCCCTCATCCTGAAAGGTTTCTACACCTCACCCAGTCCCCTCCAAAAATCACCAAATTCTTGTTTCCAACAGGAGTTCAGTCAAGCCGTTTGTGGTTTAAGGAAAAGTTTCCGATCCAACAATAAACGCATTTCCATTTCCAGTCGGTGCATCTCTGCTGCACAACTGATGGGTTTCCTTCAAATCCCCAGGGGGCCATAATTAAAACCTGATTTTAAGGTTGACTTTTTTATTGAAAGAAAAAAATGTTCTCATGTTAAGCTAAAAGTAGAAAAGGCGAGCTTAAACGTTAATTGTAAAAAAAAAAAAAAAAAGGCTAAAAGGCTAGATATAAAAGTTAAATGTAAAAGACTAGGTAATAAAAGCAGCAAAAGACTTGCTAAAAGCTAAACGTAGCATCTGCGTGTTCTCATCTGCATGTTCGGAGCCTTCAGGCCCAGGTCTCCCTTTGCAAAAGAGATCAGTGATCTCAATGGGATTTGTCTGGTTAAATAAATAATAAATGAAAGAACAAAAAGTTAGCTAAACCTCAATATGCAAAAGTATAGCTAAAAGCTACAACTAGCTCACAGTTGGATGTAAAACACTGGCATTTTGAGTTGCCTTTTAAAAGCTTAAAGCAAAAAGCAAGCTGAACGCTAAAAGTCAAGGTTTTGTTTATTTGTCATTTGCATCATGTGGTACATGTGGTGGAACAAAATTGTGTACACAGGCTCCCAGTTACATCCAGTAAAAGTATAAATTGTAAAAGAACAGTAGTAAGAACTAAGAAACACGCTAAATTAAGAATATGCTAACACCAATAGCACAAAAGCAATATGCTGAACTACAGCAGCATCGAGCATTTCAAAGCAAGAGGATGGTGAAAAGGGCACAAAACAAGGTGAAACCTGAAGATAGAATAGCAGCTAAAAGTTGTGAATAGCAAGCTGAAAACTAAAAAGTAGCCAAACATTAGCTACAAGTTGAAGAACTGACAAAATTTAGTTTATCAGCCAAACTAAACCTTTCCAACAAAGGGTTGCATTTGTCTGGCAAATGTTTATTAGTTTCCTTGAGAACAGCACTCTTAAAAGAAAAGAGGTAAATATTATTCAGACATAAGAAGAGCCCCTACCTCGGCTTCGCCTTACCTCGAGTGTTTCCTACTTTTGATGTCTGAAAGTTGGAAATTCTCGTAATAAGGTAAAAATGATTAAGCAAATAAAAAGAGAGCTTTAAACAAGATATTTAGCAGTTTGGCTTTGTTAATTACTTTACTTTGCAGTAAATAGGGAGTTTGGTTCTTAAAATAACACACATTGATGCTAGCTAGCTGATGCTAATTTTAACCTCATTTTTGTGTCAAAACCCCAATTTATTATGTTTGGTTAAACACATAACCCAAAAGTGCCAAGGGTGTCTGCTCAGTCCAAATTTGACCCAGTTGATACCAGCTAGCTGATGTTAATTACGGTTAGTGCTAGCAAATTGATGCTAAATGCTATTAGCACCAGCTAGCTAACACAAACCCATTATTAATAGCTCAAACTCAACAAATTAATAATTTTAACTCAATTGTTCTGGATCAAAACCCAAATTTAGTATATTAGGTTAAACAGATAACCCAACCCTCCTGATCTGCCCAGAGGCTTAGCTTGGTCCAAATTTGACCCAGTTGGTCCCAGCTAGCTGATGCTAGTTGTTGATGCTAGCAAACTGATTGTAGATCGTCTTAGCACAAACTAGCTAACATCAACACGTGGTTAGTAGCGCAAACACAAGAAATTAGCAATTTAAAACCTAATTTTACTTTTGGATCAAAAACCTAATGTAGTGGATTAAACAGATAACTCATCCCTGCTGAGCCAAAAATACCAAGGGTGATTTATCCCGTCCAAATTTGACCCGTTGATACCAACTAGCTGATGCTAATTACAGTTAGTGCTAGCAAATTGATGCTAAATGCTATGAGCACCAGCTAGCTAACACAAACACGTTATTTGATCAAACTCAACAAATTAATAAATTTTAACCTAAATCAAAACCCCAATTTAGTATGCTAGGTTAAATGATAATCCAACCCTGCTGAGCCAAAAATACCAAGGGTGATTTGTCCGGTCCAAATTTGACCCGGTGATACCAGCTAGCTGAGCTAATTACAGTTAGTGCTAGCAAATTGATGCTAAATGCTATTAGCACCAGCACAAGCTGTTAGTAGCTGAAACACAATAACTTAGTAATTTTAACCCAGTTGTTCTGGATCAAAAGCCCCAATTTAGTATGTTAGTATGATAAACCGAGCCAACTGCCCAGGGACTTGGCTCGGTCCAAATTTGACCCATCTCCGGGTTACAAACTGGGTTAACTGCAGTTTTAAGTGTGCTGGCTTGGAGGAGAAATCTAAACCCTCCGTTTTGTTGCATCGGAGGGGGGGTGAAAACTGAACGCTCCCCCTTTTCTCCCCCCTTCCTCTCCCTTCAATGACAGCAGCCGGAACCAGCCGCTCGGTTCGGTGGGAAGTCTCCTCCGGTACCAGAAGGATCTCCGTGCAGGTCTGCGGTAAGAACGGGAACATTATCAGCAGAAGGTTGGAGAAAAAATAGCCCCGGGGCGGAGGGGGTTCTGCCGCCGCCGAGGCTCTCAGACAAACCCGGCGGAGCCTGGCCCGGTTCGCTTTGCTTGACAGCCGCAGAACCAATGGAAACATGCGGGGAACCAGCTGCAGCCAATGGAAAGGTCCAAACGCTGAGGTTAGGCTGGCTGCAGCCGCTACATTTCATAGCAAATTAAAAACAAGCTGTTTGTGTTTCTGGCTGCAGAGGCCATTTTAGGTTACAAGGGTCCTTTAAGTGGGTTTTCTGGATGCGGCTCGTTCTGGACTCCAGGATCCGGGCTGACCGAGGTCCCGGGCTGCTGCTGCTAGCTTTATGGGGGATTAAATAGATTTTCCACTCCTCCTCTTCCTCCTCCTCCTCCTCCTCCTCCTCCTCTTCTTCTCCCCATCCCTCTCCTCCTCCTCCTCCCTCCTCTGCGTGCTAATTTTTTATGCATTTTTCTAAACTGTCATGGCGTTTTTGTGTCCTTGGAAATAAAAAAAGAAGCTCCAGCGGTTTTTCGGGCTCGCCGGGGTGATGTCTCTGCGGTGAGAATGTGCCACCAGAGTCCGGAGCAGGTGAGCTGTGTGCCGGGAAGGGTTTTCTCCTCACCGATGTCCCTCGGAAGGAGTTTTAGCGGCTGTCCACACGTGTATAAATGTATTTACAACAGCGATGCAGTGACATTACGGCTAGCAGGGCGAGCTAGCCGCTGCGGGGGCTAGCATCAAACAGGACACAATGAAAGTCTGCCTTTCTCTTCTGGGCTTTTTCTTAGTTCTGGTTCCGACTCGGCTCGGTTTCTTTGGTGCTCCCAGCTCCCACAACTTGTGGCAGCCCATCTAGGCTAGCCGCGTTAGCCCCTGCTAGCATTCATTAAAACCATAAAAGCTAAGTTGTTAGCTTGTTAGCTTTCCAACATATTGGCAGCTGTAGCAGCCAGGTGTGCGCGAGAGGGTACCGTGAGGCGTTCAGGTCCATCGTCACACTCGGGTTCACCTGGCCAGGTGTAACTGGCACAGCAGGAAGACAAAAGGTGCCCGAGCTAACCCAGATGTGAGACCTCAGGTGTTCTCAGACAGGATGTGCCCGAAACTCCGGAATGTCGTTTTGGTGTTTTTGACAAGTTTGGGAAATCTGTGTCTTCAGACTAGCTGCTTAATCCAGTTTCTAAAGTCAGAACATCCTGAATTAAAGTGAATTAATTCTGAAATTATGAGCCTTAGCATTCACTGAAGAAACAATCTGACGGTCCTTAAATAACATACACTCAGTGTCTGCAACACTGATGATGCTCGGAGTTTGTGTTGGGAATGACTGTCGGCTACTACCACACCAGATCTGGGCTCAGCAGCTGCGAAACGGAGTTAAGGCCATTTTTGTGTTTGCTAAAATGGATTACTGCAGCTTTGATGTCCTGAGTAGTATTGGCTTCAAATGGTGATCGTTTGTGGATGCACACCCAATACGTGTTTGATTAACGAAGGTCCAGTGGTTCTCGGGTTATTTTGCTAACAGAAAGGTAAATTGACGCACGAGTAGACACAAAGTCCCCCCGTGAGTCTCTGCAGCGGCCAATGTGAAGTTGCTCTGCTGAAAATAATTCAGTCTCAAGCGTTTGCTGCCGTGATGCGTCACTACAAATAATCCTCGTTAGGAGAAAATCCAGGTTTGCTGATTATACGTCGTTCTTTTCTGGTTTGATGCGAACGGCGCCGGCTCAGAGTCCGTATTTACACGATCTTCAGTATTCTGGTGTGGATTCTCGGCCGTCCAGGAACTGGTAAATCCTGAAAAAACAATAATAAAAACCAAAACAACCGAACTTCTGCTGTTGAAACTGGTTGTTACTTCAGCTGCAGGATAAAAGTCCAGCTGTTTGGTTTTTAATTTCTTATCTCCTTCAGCGGATAAATAAGAAAAACCAAATGGGTTCCTGTTTCCAGACGTTTCCACCCTTGTCCGGGGGTCCGCAACCTGTGGCTCTGGGGCCACGTGTGGTCCCGCTGCTTTGGCTCTTTGACCCCAAAACCCTGCAAGTGAATTATATTCAGAACTACAACCGAAAGAACTCGTTTTAGAAGTTTACCCGTGGGATTTTATGCAGACATTTTGTTGAAAGTTTTGAACCAGAAAGATCCGAACGCCACACGGAGGAAAACGGATCAATCGGTTCGGAGCAGAACTTTGTCTGACTCCGATCGGTTTTTAAAATCATTTAGAAAATTAAACCATTACTTTATGTACGGCCCGTTGTTTTGACAACAACAAGCATCAGAAAACCTACTTTTGACTTAAATTTAGTAAAAATATATAAAGGTCGCTGCTTTAATATTTAACTTTTACGAACGTCGCCGTTGTTGACCTGCTTTCAGGCACTTCGGCTGTTTCTGCAGACGAACGCGCGTGGGCGTTAGCGGCCAGTTACAAAGCTTTAAATGTAAGGACATATTAACCGTCTACGAGCAAACAACATTGTGCAAATGTTGGTTCTTATGTTGTGATTTTTGTTTGATGCGTCTCGGAGACTTTGCAATGACTAGTTTTAATAAATGATCACAACTAAGACGTTACAAATCATAAAGGCAGGGCGCAATGTTCAGCTTTTAGTCACGTTGTTTTCTCCTTGAACAACTGAAAACACGTGATAAATGTAAATGTTGCGCCTCGATCAAACCTCAGAGACGCAGGTGATTCTCACAATGTCTTAACTAAAGGAAGAACGTCCGTCCATCCGTCCGTCCATCCGTCCGTCCATCCGTCCGTCCGTCCATCCGTCCGTCCATCCATCCACCTGCTTCTTCCTTTTCGGGTCACAGGGGTCACTGCTTCCCATATCTAATCCAGCAGTCACCGTGTGAGAGGCGGGGGACACCCTGGTGCATCACAGGGACACCTGGACAGGTCTCCAGTCCATCACAGAGACACATAGAGACAAACAACCATTCTCTCTTTCTCACCTAGGGACAATTCAGAGTTACCAGTCAGTTTAACGTGCATGTTTTTGGTCTGTGGGAGGAAACTGGAGTACCCGGAGAAAACCCACGCATGCACGGAGAGAACATGCAAACTCCACCCAGAAAGACCCCCGCCAGGTCGGGATTTGGACTGGCGACCTTCTCGCTGAGAGGCAATAGCTCTACCAACTGCGCCACCGTGCCGCCCTGTCTCAACGACGAGTCAAAACATCTGCAGACTCATCAGGCTCGAGTCTTCAAACATTTCTCTCCTTCCAGAAGACGTGCACCTGAAGGAGAATTCCCCAGAACGAGGTGCACATGCAAATCTGAGCTCAGCACAAAGGCCACTGGACCGCCAGATGTTCTGATTCTGAAGCTCAGTTTGTTCAAAACAAAAATAAAATTAAGTCGTCACAGAACAGGCAGAAAAAACATCTAGGTTCCCACATTTCTTCGTTTAAAACTCCAGTCAAAGTTCAATTTGTCATAAATTTCTGGCTCATTTTTAACTTTTAAACACAAAAGATTTTTAAAAATATATGGCAGACGTTTCTACTGTTAGTTTTTATTTAATCTCTAGGTATTTTGTATTTTTTAACATTTGCAAACACCATACAAGTACAAATAAAACGGGGATAATGCATAAAAACACCTTTTTAATGCGGTTATAGTCCTTTTGTAAAAACAGAATTCACCTTTAATTTCCTGATCATGCATTGATCTATGTATGAAAACTCAACAGATGATTTAGGATTAGAAAAGTGCATTTTTTAAACGTAATCCGGACATAAAGTGCTCGTGTTAGTTGAGTAAATAATACCGCCCACTGCTGGAATAAAAACTGTGTTTTTACCAGTCTGTGCTCCTTTCTCTGTCTGTTAGCAAAATATTTCATGAACTAATAGACAAATGTTAAATAAAATTCCAGGACGGTAATCACCGGACACACAACTACAACTCGTTAACTTTTGGAGTCGACCAATTCAAGATGGACGCCACAGCTAATCGACCTCGGCCAACAGAAAAACCGCAACGACTCGGTCAAATCTTGAGATGTTGAGCTGCAGCTTGGTGTGGTAGTAGATGAGAGTCATCCCTAACATGTTTCACAATATCACCTCTGAGACTGAAGTCATAATGGATAATGTCCTCCACAGCTAAAGCATCATTGTTATTTTTTTAAACACAAGATGTTCTAAACCTCTGACACAGAAGGTGGCGGGCGATATGCATCTCCTCATCGATGCTTCGCTTTTAACTGCGGGAAGTCGCTAAGTTTCCTGCTTTTTGACGACACGTGCACTTGGAGTTAATACAATTTTAGAGCGAACATGCGTTGACTGCGTACCGGCATTTCACATTATTATATCTGGAGCAGCGCCGATTGATTTATTTGATTTCATGGTTTGTTCCTGGTCACACCATGGTTATAAGACAGTGATTTATATTTATGGTGATAATTATAAAATATAGTTTGATTTTTAAGTTCATATGTGAAGAACTTTTACTAAAAAAAAAACGGTTTCTTATATGAAACACGAGGAGCTTTATTTTCTCAAGAGTTTGATATTTGGAGTTATAGAAGACTTTCTGATAGACTTATGTTGTTACTTAATAAAAAAACTTAGACAAATAGAAATGGACAAAACAGAAACCTGAGAGTAAATAAAGTAAATTATAGTTCAGTGTAGGATTGACGAGCAGACTTGAGTCGGACTACTTCCTGTTAGCAGGACTTCCTGCTCTGAGGATGCCGTAGGAAGGTCCAGGTGAAGCATGGCGTGCTGCCGTCGGATACCGGTGTCACAGAACTGGACCGGGTCAGCTGCATGCTTGGCACCTGGAAAACCTAACAACTGTCATGGGGAGGTGCTGCAGCAGCGTTCACACAGAAATCTGAGATGGAGCGAGTTTAAACCTGGACATCACCGTCCGGTGGGTCGTTTCTTCCCATCGTGGCACAAAAAACAGGATTTGTTTTTGTGGATGTAAACCGTCTCTCGATGATTCACAGATGCAACGATGTCACGTTAACTGCAAAGTCCATGCTGAATAATCCAGGTTTACAATCCAACATTTTTCAGTCAGGTCATCTGGACAGTTTCTTTTTTTGTGCTGAAACGTTTCTCATTCGATCCAGAAGGCTTCATCAGTCAAGGAAACAACTGGTTTGTTCCACTTTGGAGTAAGCTGTTGGGGGAAGAATCAGTTTTGTTGTGCGTTTCCTTGACTGATGAAGCCTTCTGGATGGAAAGTGAAACGTTTCAGCACAAAAAAAAGAAACTGTCCAGATGACCTGACTGAAAAATGTTGGACGTCACGTTAAGTTGTTTATTTATTTTTTTTTCCCCCAAGAGCAAATGATTGAACAAAATGAATAAAATAAACTGAAAACAGTAAAGTTCTCCACAGAGAGGAGACGGCTGGCTGAAATCTGTTCCAGCAAACACACCTTCAGGTTGATGATAATAATAATAATAATAATAATAATATGTCAAAATTTTCACTTTGAACTCTGAATTGTAAAAAAACAACATGTTTACAGAGTTTTGTTATAGAAATATAGCTCATAATGTGAACAAAGCTTTTGACAATTTAAAATTTGTGTTAGTTGAATG